AAACTTTCATTTCTTTTTTTACAATCTTTGCTCTTTTAGGTAATTACTTCTAGGTAGATTTGGTATTGATTTTAAAATAATTGATATACCAAAATCATTAATCTCTCATGATATGACAATCTAATTGTGTGTAAATTTATGAATGTCTTTACCATGTGTTCAGGTATATTTTCATGTGAACTCAACATTTTTATGTGTCTGTCTTTATGTACGTAGTTTTACAGCATACATGAAAATGTGGACTTATATTTTGACATAGATGTATGTTGTTCTCTGTGTGGATGCATTGGTGTACAGGTATATGAAAGTCTGTTTATATATATGTAGCATTTTCCATGTGATTCAAACTTTGTGTTTAGGTATAAGGTGTCTGTCTTAGGGTTATTTTTGATTTATTTGCATATTCATAAAGTGAGTATAAAGTAAGAAGAGTAAGAAGCATTAAACAAATGTAATTCTGATGAATCTGTTACCAGGCAATCTCCTTTTTTAAAGTTCATATTTGTACATTAATAATCTAATTTATATGTACTCATATATGCAGCATTATGTATATATATATATATATATATATATATATATATATATATATATATATATATATATATATATATATATATATATATATATATATATATGTATATATATATATATATATATATATATATATATATATATATATATATATATATATATATATATATATATATGTATGTATATATATATATATATGTATATATATATATATATATATATATATATATATATATATATATATATATATATATATATAAATGTATATATATACATATATATATATATATATATATATATATATATATATATATATATATATATATATATATATATATATATATATATATATATACATACATACATACATACATATATATCTATATGTGTGTGGTGTGTGTGAGTGTGAGTGTGTGTGTGTGTGTGTGTGTGTGTGTGTGTGTGTGTGAGTGTGTGTGTGTGTGTGTGTGTGTGTGTGTGTGTGTGTGTGTGTGTGTGTGTGTGTGTGTGTGTGTACATGTATATGTAAATTTATGCATAAGTATATATATGTGTATGTACAATACATGTATATGTAGTTGTATGCATAAGTATATGTATATATATATGTATATGTATGTATGTATGTCTATATATATATATATATATATATATATATATATATATATATATATATATATATGTATATATATATATATAAATATATGTGTGTGCATGTGCATATGTATGTATGTATATATATATATATATATATATATATATATATATATATATATATATATATATATATATACACTATATATATATATTTTTTTTTCTTTTTTCTATTTCATTTTTTTACGTAGACATTAATGTTTTAGAAATTGAACCCTAATAGGAGATGCTGTAAAGAGAGGCTTTGCTTATTTTCTACTAACATATGGTATTTACATCTTTTTTTTTTACCTATATATCTCTGTTCAACTACCTATACAAAGCTGTATACTTATTGTCACACCCATTTACACATTTACCCATGCAAAGCCCTCCATCCCCTCACACTTACATACTTACATACATATATACATACAAATATGATACATCCATTTTTAGATTTGTTTTAGTTGCCAAGTATTTTCTGATAAGTGTTTTATGCATAAGGTCCTGTAGTATTACAGAACATTCAAAAAGCCTCCTTTAACTATGCTTAAAAAAACACATAAATAAATCTCAAGTCTTGAAATTTAGACCATTAACTTATCAATAGAAACATTTCTACACTTGGATACCTTATGTAGCTTACTGTCAGTGTGTACATAGAGCCTACTGACTTAGTTTCATGTTTGCGTCAAGTTAAAAGAATGTGGAGATGCCTGGATGGCTGCGTCATCCCTGACTACCAACGCTGTGATGGACAAATTAACTGTTATGACGGGTCAGATGAGGTCTTCTGCCGCTACATATACGCGTAACCGCCCATGTAACACACCTTCTACCATCTTTGAATTCTTACTAACTGCATGAAAACCTCAGATAATTGCATGAGTGCAGTGAAGTGAACAAGACACCAGCACACTGCTACAACACAGAAAGACTTTTTTTTTGTTTTGTAGTGGACTACTCTTCTTGGGATTACATTTATGAAACAAGAAATAACACATCACTTGTCTGTTTTTTTTTTTTCTGTGTAGTTTAAGACCTTCTTGTGACATTTCTTTTGTTCTGAATTTGTTTAGAATTGGTGTAGACAGAAATATCTTCAGTAATCTGTAATCTTGGTGCATGTAGTGAAATAACTTTTGATATACATTAAATCTTGTCACACAGAAACAGAATTCACATGTAGTCACAATTTCTTTTTGTAATTTTCTAAAACTTGTATTTAAGAACATGTTAATTCATAGTAGAATGAATGTAATGTAAGTAGCATGTGAAACATTTTGGTTTGGAATTGCTTATGATATAATGCTAAATTCGGAACTCCTTGCCATGTTCGGAACCTCTGAGGCCTTCGTTGTCCCCAATGCAGCTTGAAAGTAAAGTCACTATTTTATCATACAGACTGCTTTAATTTTACATGCTGCATAAGTTTTCTAACTCTTTTGATGCATAGATAACTCACCTGTAACTGTCTTTGATAACAATAAAGGACTACAAAATTACCTATCAGTATCTCAGGATTGCCTACAACTGCCATTGTTTACATACAAATGCAATTGTGATATCATCGTGTTGTGTTCGCCAGGCTCCGAAGCAGGGCAAGATGTGTGAGATGGACAACTCGTCCGGGATGTGAAATTAGGGGTTCCGAAAGGTCAAAACATCATGGCCATGCTGTCCGACTTGATGAACAAGGAGTTCCGAACATAGCATGACTGTTTCACTTTATGTTATTTAGATAATGTATTGAATTGAATAACCATAAGTATGTGTTTATAAGCTGCCCTGTTTTCAGAGATGATCCTTGTAACAGAGTGTGTTCATATGTATATATATGAATAGGAATATAATTATGAATATAGATATAAATATAAATATAAATACAATTATAGATATTAGTATATATATATCTATGTATGTATGTATGCATGTATGTATATATGTATATATGTATATATTTGTGTGTGTATATATATATATAAATGTGTATATATACATATATATATATATATATATATATATATATATATATATATATATATATATATATTTATATATATATTTGTATATATATGTGTATATGTATATATATACATAGACATATGTTTATGCAAATATACATATACATATATTTACATATATATGTATATATGCACATACATATACATATATATATATGTATGTATATGTATATGTATGTATATGTATATGTGTGTATATATCTTACTCACAGAAAGTTAATCTCTTGAATTTTTCACTTGTAATTTACAGTTGTCATTAAGCAACTGTAAATATTCTTAAGAAGTGAAAAGAAGATAATCAGTTTGATGGTTCTTGTCATTAGATTTTTTTTATCATTTTTGTTTGTTTTATCTATTGTTGTTGTAAATAAATAAATAAAATCACTCAATAAGATGCAGCTTATAGACAGGTTCATATGGATCCATTGGTTACTGTAAGTTTTATAATTGCATAAACCTGTTATTTCACATTATTTTTCTTCCTTGCATTAGTAGATTCAACTAACACAGAAGTATCTTAACTATCCAAGAATATATATAGCCAATCAAAATATAAAAAAGTGAGCCTGAACAACAATTAAAAAAAAAAGATGAATAAATATCACATGTTAGCAATCTTAGAACACTTTTATTACGAAGATTTTTTTTTGATTGGGCATATATACCTATATATCAAATTATAATTTTCTTTTGTGTTTCCTTTATCAAAGTTTGAAGATATATTTTGATTTGATGGTAATGTATCTTGAACATTTAAGAATGTGTTTTAATACCTTATTGTAGACATTTCACTAATGGTTAAAGATTATTACAATAGCAGCTGAAATCATGGTAATGGTATAGAGCTATAAATTTTACATTTGGAAATGTAAAATGGATTTTTCTTTGATATTCTTGATAAGGATAAGTTTTCTAAATCAGTATCTCGTAAATAAATATATATGAGGAGAAAAACTGGTATAAGATGTGCAAAAAGTTTATGTTCAGATTACAAATTACTGTCACTCACTTTTCATGTAACTAACTGATCAATATTTTTTCTTCAAATTCATGTTTTTCTACATGAATTAGAGATATAGCAAAAGGAATTCAGCTCCATGAGTTAACATACAATTTGGTTAACCCCTGCATGCTTTTGCTTTGACTGTGCTTGGCTTTAGATATTAATACTGTCTTATTTTGAATGTAGGGCATCTTTCTAATCCATTTTTATGCAGATTCAAGATCAGATTAACTTTGTTTACTTTTTATTCTTGATTTGGACAACTAGGTTATATGTTCATGTGTTAGGATTATCTACAAATCCACAATAAAGAAAAAAAAATGTGTAGAGCAATATTACGTTAAATTGAAAACGGGTATTTGATTACCTTTGTGTTGTCAAATGATATTGCTTGCACCTGTAGCTTGCATGCCAGAAGAGTTTGCCTGCCTTGATGATGGCACCTGCATCCCAAAGAGCCTGGTGTGTGATGGGAGACCATACTGTCGTGATGGGTCAGATGAAAATAACTGTTCTCCGCCCTGTGAGTCGTTATTATTTTGTCAAAGTATTGTGAGCTCAAGGAGTTTCACATTTGTGGCTTAAAGCTTTTGTGTGAAAGAGTTTTTTTTTTTTTTTTTGGAAATGTCCATGACAGGTTTGTGTTTGGCAGTGACTAGAATGCTATATATTTTGAAAAAAAGAGTATAATGGTGAGTAACAATATTATGAGAGAGGTGATTTATAGTTTATCGTTTGCCATTTAACTGCTTATCAATTCTTATAGTTTTTCATTCATTCCTCAAGACGATTTTTGTCAAAGTTAAATTTTTAGCACATTCAGACTAAAACAGGAAATGATGTAACAAATCTTATTGAATTTCCCCATTGCCTGAAATTGCTAGTTTTCAAATTGATGATAAACCCAAAAGGAAAAGGAGTCTTATCAAGTTTCATTGGGTTTTTGGTAAAGTAAGGACAACCTGTTTTGAAATCAGAAATTGTGAGGGTGTACTTGTTGGCATCAGTGGGGTGCATTTACTCTGATGCTGTAAACATTTAGTTTTGAGATGATGACTATCTTCAATAATCTATCATTCATCATGAGGAAGCAGTTAAAGGGTTGATAAGGTGTGAAACTGGAGAATGATGCTCAGCATTTAACATCTACATCAAAGTCCAAATTCATAACTTTTTACAGTAAATTTATTTCAGTGTTACTAAACATTTATTATTCTCTCTCTCTCTCTCTCTTTCTTTCTCTTTCTCTCTCTCTCTCTCTCTTTCTCTCTCTCTCTCTCTTCTTCTCTCTCTCTCTCTCTCTCTCTCTCTCTCTCTCTCTCTCTCTCTCTCTCTCTCTCTCTCTCTCTCTCTCTCTCTCTCTCTCTCTCTCTCTCTTTCTGCTCTTTCTCTCTCTTTCTGATCTTTCTCTTTGGTATACAATTAATGAAGTTGTCCAACACCATCAAATTTTGTGTATGTATGTATGCATTGTATGAGTTAAATTAAGATTTCCAGTGTATATTTGTTTCATATACCAGATAAATTGTCTCTGTAGTGAACAGCATGAGGCTAATACAAAACCATATCTCAGCACAATGCCCAGAAGGAGAGTTCCAATGTGCTGATGGAATATGCATTCCAAGCTACCTTGTATGTGATGGTCATAGCTACTGTAGAGACGGTTCCGACGAATGGGGCTGCTCGTGTGAGTTATACATACATTATGTAATTTCAGTAGGCATCGGGGCAAGAAGCTTTGTAGTGGTGCATCGCTTTCCATTTTAAAATATATTTAAATGAATATAAACTATGTTTTTTTTTTTAAGGTTATGTTATATTTTGGGTGAGTGTGTATGTTTGTGTTTTGTATGTGTAAGGCCTCATATGTGGATTTCCCTTGTTTTCTCTGTTTGTATCTTTGGGATGTATAATTAAAAGAAATATTTCATGCAGAACCATCTTAAATACTGCAGAATAATTGGTTTTGTTGGTAAATTCATTGTGCAGTTGTAAAGTTCTTTGGAAATAGAATTGCTTTGTGAGGTAGATCTATATATCTATAAGATTACATTTCATATCCTGTGATTAAGGATATAGAGTTTGCCATCTCCATATTTTTTTTTCTTTTTCTTTTCTTTCTTGACTTAGATAAATTTTGCTCTACCACTGCATAATGGTGTTTAATTGAAAGAGCGTAAATCAGCAGAACTATATTGGAAAGTGAAAAAAGTTTGAAGAAAAAGGGTTCTCCGAATATGCTTTTTATTTTTATTTTTTTAATGGCTCATTTAAAATATGAATGCCTTCTCTGATGATGTAAACAGAGGAGAAAGCAATAAAAGAGAAAAAAAGTTTAAAAGAGTGGAAGAAGGAAGATCAATATAAAAATCCATATATATATATATATATATATATATATATATATATATATATATATATATATATATATATATATATTTATATATATATATATATATATATATATATATATATATATATATATATATATATATATATATATATATGCATATATATATATATATATATATATATATATATATATATATATATATATATATATATATATATATATATATATGTATATATATATATATATATATATATATATATATATATATATATATATATGTATAGATATATATATAGATATATATATAGATAGATAGATAGATAGATACCTACATATAGATATATATAAATATATGAGTATCTATTCATCTATTTCTATTTCTGTCTATCTATCAATATGTCTATCTATCTATCTATATATATACATATACATTATATTATATGTATATGTATATATATATATATGATATATGATTTTTCATTACTTCTTTAAAACTTCAGTCCTGCTTTTGTTGATATGGTTTCTGCTGTTCTGTATTTTCTCTTATTGTGACTGTGCCCTTTTATGTCAGAGTTAAAAGTGTTAATACCCATGTCTCTGTTTTGTGCGTTATTTTCACAATAAATATGGTATCTTGTATATTCTATGTGAGGTTTTCAAAAATGTAACGTGCAGGGCCAAGCCATTTATAACAATGAAATAAGGTGTGACGGGAATTCTCTGCAGTTACTGATGCTGGGTGTAACATATTGACATCAATTTTCCTAAATCCATTTGGTGATTGTTTACGCATAACCTTCAGGATTTTGGAAAATTGCTATTGAAGTAGATGGAGTAGTTAGATAATGTATATAAGCTATTTTAATGCATTCTCTTATCTTGTGTATGTGTCCTTCTGTGTTGTATAATTAACCCATATAATTATCATATGAAATGTACACATTGAATTCTTTATTTACAATTCCAGTAAACTTTATTGATAAAAGGATTCTGTTCTAATCAATTGCATAATGATTCTGTTAAAGAAATTTTGAAGATTCCTTATCATATTAGATTAAGAGAACTTAACGGTGTATAGTTTTGATTAATCAAATTACATTCACTTTTGCCTAAGTTTTTTTCCAGTTCTTTATACTGAAAATATTTCCTACGCAGAATTACCTCAATTTTCTTTGCCAAAATAGTTTTTTTTTAATTTCTTATTGAGATTACTGGTTTATTTATATTTTATTGGAAACTTTTAGGTGGAGACAAATTAAATTTTCCTTTTCATATGATTTTTCTCTTACTAACTTGAAAGAACACAAATTTTAATAGTCCTTTTCCTTTAACATAATAACCATTTAATGATAGTTTATATCTCTTTTCCAAATTTCTTATTACATACTTACTAACAAAATAACCACTCCTGTCTCTCTTACTACCTCCATAGCTTGCAATTCTGTAACGGAATGGCAGTGTGATGATGCTGAGTGTATTGACCGCAGACTACGTTGTGATGGCAAACTGGACTGTCCTTATGACAATTCTGATGAACGTGATTGCCGTAAGTGAATTTCACATCTTTCCTGCCTTCATTCCTTTCTGCTTTTAAATGTCAGACATCTCAATGAGTAAGGTTAGTATCAGGCTCTATGATGTACTACTTGTTATACACTTTAAGACACATTAACAGGAAAAGCTTCACATTTGGTGGAGAAACATGGTCACACCTAGCAACTCTTGTGTGTGCTTTCTTGGTTTTTACTTTGGCTGTTGTGAGTGAAATGTGAGTTTTGATATGAATGATATACATAAATATAAAACTCTCTTTAAAAAGATATGCCCTACACTGTAGGCATATTGCCTGTATAAAAGCTCAAGATAATTGTGAATGAAATAGTAGTTAATAGTAGGAAAGTAGCTTTTAAGTTCTTGCTTGCACGCTCATTGTTGCACGTCTGCTGCTTGTCTTGCTCAGCTCCCTGCCCCGAAAATGGCTTCATGTGCGATGGTGGCCTTTGCATCTCCAGTCTGCAATATTGTGATGGTTATTCAGACTGCTTGGATGGCTCTGATGAGCCCTTTGCTTGTGGTATGTCCAAAAGCATTTATTTCATCATGTACTGTTAGTTTTTTTATAACATACTATTTTTATTTTTAAATGGAAAACAATAATGCTTCAGGTTAATACCATGGTCTCCCTGAGTGATAGCTGGGGCCAGTTTTTACGTGATCCTTTTATATTATAAGATGTCTCATTTTCTTATTCAGTGCTGTGTTTTGATTCCCCTTTGTGTTCTATTTACCTAATTTTTTGTGTGCACCTCTCGCCTATACCCCATATTTACAGTGAAATGAATATGGACTTTCATGTGTAAGCAGAAATGAGTCTCTAATCACTGGATTATGATAAGTTATTATGTATATGTGTTTTTCCTCTTATTATTTACTGTACCATGTATTTTCATATTTGTTTTTGGTGTTGCATTGTCAGGTATTTTAACAAATGGTACCAGAATATTTTCTGTAAAGGGTACTAATTTTCCAAAAATACCAACAAAAATTTGATATGCCTGACTTCCGCTAGCAAATGAAGGACGAAACTGCACCAGTGAGGAGTTTACCTGTCGGGATGGAACATGCATCAACATAACATCACGTTGCAATGGTCAGATTGAGTGCCCAGATAACTCAGACGAACTTGAATGCTGTAAGTTTCGCTTCTCCCCATTCAAAATTAATGTTTTCGGAAAATGTAGCGCACCTCTAGTGCCATCCGTCCATTGTGAATCTTCTTTCTCCAACTTCACTCCGGCCCTCTTCAGCATGACTCAGCGTTTTCGGGTATTTCGTCCATGTCCGTCTCATCGTTAATGTTTATTTTTATTTTTTCATATTTCTGTATAACAAATTTTGAATCAGAGTGTAGTGCTGTTGTCTAATACTCTTTTATATTGTTTTTTTTCTCCTTTTTAGGTTTTAATTGTTTGAAATGATTAAATATGTTTTTTCTTTTTTCTGAAGTGCTCTGACTATGAAACCATATGTCCCTAGTGGATTTATGTTAGAAGATTTTTATTTATATATTCATGGTTTTATGAACTTTTGAGTATCAGTGATTTAGGACATACTTTCTTTGAAAATCCTAAATTCACCCTTACAATTCTTCATTTTCTTTGGCATACTTAAAGGAGGAGAGTACTGTCTGTACTGTGGTAACTGAAATTTGCCAAGTACTATAAAAGTACAGAAAATAGTATTACACCCAGTACCTTTTAGTACCACAAACCATAACACCGCAATTTTTATTATACATTGAAAGCATGTTTTTGAGAAATGAGGTACCAGCAGTACTCCATACCTCCGGGTATATGCTGTCATCTCTGACTTTTTCTCTTTCTTTTTCATTTCTTGTGACTTTTTCCCTACTTGCATGGTAGATAGAATGATGACGTAGTCCTGCATGAAGCATTATTTATGCCTTTGATGTTATATTTGTCTTAATTATCTGTTTAGACATGTTTTCAGTGTCTTAGCAAAAATGTTTGTATTATTTTGCATTTTGATGTCATTTATCATTTTCTTTTTTTTGTGTGTGTTAATGAATGATCTTTTTTTTTTGCAAAAACGAACATTATAAATGAGTCTCATGGTATAATTAGTGGAGGAAATGTTTTTTTTCATAAATTTTAACTACAAATATTTCACCTTTGAATTATGAATAGTCTAGTCATTTCTTATATTTTTAAGTTCTACCTTAACACTATTTATTTTAATATTGAGTATATCAGTTATTGTGTAAAATATATGAAAGTTGTAAAACTGTACTGACTTTGTTATATAAAATGTATGTGAAAATTGTCAAACTCTACTGACATGGGTCTATAATCATAACATAAAATAGGTGGAGGAACTTCTAACAATACTAGCCCAATTAAGAAATAACTTATCTAGGGTTAAGCACCAAGAAAAGGTTTGTAATTTGTTTACCTCTGAGCCTATTAACCTACAGATATGTAGTGTCATATATCACCAGTAGTAATGTTACAATACATTTTATATGGTTGCAATTTCCTAACTGTACTCCTTAATTGTTTTGGAGAGAGGGATACAGATTTTTTTTTCTTTTTTTTTTTTTTGCTGTCATGCTTTAAGCTAAAATGTTTCAGTAACACAAAAACAGTATTTGTTTACACATACACACTGCCTCCTCACTTGATTTAGACACAAAAGATGAGAGTGTAAAATGTAATGAGATATGTCTGCTTTCATGTTGTAACTGTCAAGTGGCTTGATAGCCTGTTCTGCAACTCTGGTTTGAGCTTAGCACACAGAAAGAACTGTTCCCATGCTTGCCCTCATAACCAGGACAATAGCTGAGAGTGTGACCCAAAGCTTGCCCTTGACAGCCTCCAGCTCGTGTGGCCCCCCTGAGAGTTTCCGCTGCGCCATTGGCTACTGCATCCGAGCAGAGCAGCGTTGTGATGGAACCACTGATTGTCAAGACGCCAGTGATGAAAGAGATTGTCCACGTAAGCCCCCTCCCTCCCTCCCCTCCCCCTCCTCCCTCCCCTTCCTCCCTCCCCCTTGTCCCCCCCAACTCCCTTAACCCTCAGCAGTGAATCCATGCTAGACACTGCCCCCCCCCCCCCAGATACCCATGCCCTCCGTGGGCCTTTCACAATACACAATTCACTGGACAACTCAGATCTGTAACTAAAGTTGTGATTGGAAGATATGACACAAGAAAATGGTGGTGACTTTATATCCATTTAGCTGATAAATAACAGTCTCACACACATATGCACATGCACATCCACACACACCCACACCCACACCCATGCCCACACCCACACCCATACACACATACACACACACATGTTGTATACGCACACGCACACACGTTGACAAGCATTACACAAGCATATACACAGATGAATATGTCATTATACTTTCTTAATTTTTTAGCATACAAATAAGTAGTGTCAATACATGAAATGCAGTATGTTCATATGATGGAACAAAAAAACAATTATAGATTAATTTGCCAAAATGTGAGAAACAACTTGTTCGTTCTCTCATGAAAAATATCGTTAGTGCAGTTTCTCTACCTGGGAACAAATTTGTAACTACTGTGAATTAAGTGGCTCACTGCGAATGTCAGTGGGAGGAATGATTAACTCTTTCTGCATAAACATATTCAGTATGTAAATATACATATATATATATTTATATTTATATATACATGCATATATATATTCATATATATTTATATATATATATGTACATATACATATATATATATATATATATATATATATATATATATATATATATATATATATATATATATATATATATATATATATGTATACATACATACATATAGATACATATACATATACATATATATGTAATGTACATGTACATTTATGATTTTTGTTTTTATTTAGATGAGGGTGTAGAAGGAATTAATAAAGTATATGATTTCTACTTATTTTGCTTTGTTATATGTGACAGTTTTATGTTATCAGAATAATACATTCTATAATGATTTTATCTGCATCAATGAAAGATATAAAAACCCAGTGATAGATTATAAATTTGTTCCTGGTTTTAACTATTCAGAGCCATAGAATAACACTTTGAGCTTGATATTCAAGAATAAGTTAAAAATTTCCTTAAACTGACTTTTATCTGTCTTGATATATATCTGTCAATCTTAATATCTTTCTGTCCGTACAGATAGGAAGAAGGATAGATAGATAGACAGATAAATGTAGATGTATAGATATATAGTTATGTATAGTTAATTAGTTATAGTTTTATTTATATAACATGCACAACAAAATTAAAAGATGGATATTAGGTTTTACCTCTTTCCTAACAAAAAAAAACTGTATAATCAACACAGTCTTGTTCCTCAGTTTAGTTATTATTTTACTACTTCACACTATTTTGATTTATC